CCATCCCAAAGGCAGGGACTCTGTTTCTCTTAAGAAGAGGACTGGTGCAAACACTGGAGTTTGGCCTCATCTAGTGGGCATACGGTTAGGGGCTCACAGGTTGGATACATTTGCCTGTGTGTTCCTTTATTACATCTGCTGTAAGCTGCCTTGAAGTTCTTTCCAGTGGAAGCAGGGTATAAATCTTTTAAACCAACAAATATTTTTAAAACGCAGTTTAACATTGCCATGTAGGCAAGGAAGGCAAAAATGGCAACGTACTTGGTCCCCATGAGGGATGGATGTGCAAAAGACCAAACAGAAGACCAGCACACTGTGATTGGGTGTCCTTTGAGGACAGCAAATTAACCATATGCTTAATGGGTGATTAAAGAAAGTCCTGGCCAAATGCCACCAAGAACATAAAGAGACAGAACCCCTGGACAGCCGGCCAGTTTAGTATTTGCATCACCAGGAGTGCCTGGCCAGTGTTATTAGAGGCAACAGAATCATGAAACCATAGAAGAGTAGAGTTGGAAGGGGCCATGAAGGCCATCAGGTCCACCCCCTGCTGTTGCAGGACACCACGTCACCCCACCCCACTCGGAGGGCTGCCCAGGTTCTTCTTCCATGGCTCCAGTGTGGGAGAGCCCCCCCACCTCTCCAGGCAGCTGGCTCCAGTGTCGCATTGCTCTGACAGTGAGGAAGCTTTTCCTGATGTCCAGCCTGAATCTGGCTTGTCACAACTTGATTATTAAGAAAGTTGTCTTAGGAACAAGAGGGAACCCCTCTGCATCCCCAAGTCAGTCAAGTTCACAAGACTAGTCTGTCCCAGAACACTTTCAGCGCTTCTGTGGGCGAAGGTGAAATCCTTATTTGCTGCTGCCTCTTACTCCCCAAATCTCTTGCTGATCTGATAGCCACACACTGGAAACCAAATGGGAGGTGACACGAGAGGCAGGATTTCAAGAGCGCAGCATGTTACGTCATTACTTAGATCTCAGTTCCCAAGGAAGCAAGTATCTCATCAAAGCTCAGGTGAATCAGCAGGCTCGCTTGACCTTTGCGGTGAGTCCGGCACTGCAGCTCACAGACACGCCTCAACGAGACATTTGCCAGATCGAGCCACGGCCTCACTCCTCCTGCACGCGTCAGGCTCCTTCACACGCGTGTGGGGGAGTCCGTCTTGGAGGAACATGGCTTTTTATTTGGGCATGGAGGACTTCAGTCATCAAACAGAATGTACGGATGCCTTTCTGCACGGATCAAGCGAAACTGCTTCAGAAACTCGGTGAGAGTGACAGGCCAGTGAGAGTCCTCCAGAGCCGTCTTTTCACCATATAAAGGGAAATATTTGTTTGCTGGAGAGCGGCAGGGATTGCTATCAGACGGCATTTAGAGTAAATGTCAGAAGAGCCCCGGGCAGCTTCTGTAAACATTCTGTTTCCACAGTGACCAGCCGGATACCCCGAGGGCACGGCATGAGCGTAATGATCCCTCCCTCATCTCCCCCAGCAACAGGCATCCACAGGTAGAACCGGAAGCAACAGGTAGCCACCATGGCTAATAGCCCCTGAGAGCCTTATTTGCCACGAATTAGTCCAATCTTCTTTTAAAGCTCTCCAGACTGATGGCCATCACCACTTCTTGAGGTAGTGAAGTCCATCATTTACCTATGAGTAAAGCCACACACTTGGGAGAAGACAATCATGCTCGGGAAGGTTGTAGGCAGAAGAAGAAAAGGAGGACCAAATACGAGATGGATGGACTCCAGGATGGAGCCTGAATTTACAGGAGCTGAGCAGGGCTGTTTAGGACAGGACAAAACAACGTTCTTTACAGGTCTGACTTGTTGAAGGCTGCAGCTTGGGATCAAAAGTTCTGTGCGTCTGTTTTAAATAAGCAGGAATGCAACTTCCTTCCTTCCCAAAAGTGTATTGAAAGAAAACTTACAGACATGTTGATTTATGCCATTTCCAAAATCAGGAGTTAGTGGGAGGGTGACTGACTTCCACTGTGATTTGCACATGGAGTATTAGTTTTGGGTAACAGATCCTGAATACCACTTTTAGCTAGAAAAGCAACTTTAGATGGTAGGAATTTAGAATCTGCAAGATGGGCAGATTTGATTCCTTTTCTTCTTTTCAGATCTTTTTTTTCTAAGAGAGTACTGAACATACACACAAATATGCCATCATGGTTTATTTATTTAGAACATGTCTATGCCGCCCCATTTGTAAAAAGCCTCGGGGCGGCTTACAAAACAAATAAACAATTATACAATTACCTTAAAAATCCGGAGACATCTCGGCACAGATATAAAATCAATAAATACAATCAACAATTAAAATAATGTTTAAATAAAAAGGTCGCATCAAATTATAAATAATAAATGGATAAATAAACAAATAAATAACATTATTATTTTCCAGTGTACTTTCTCCACTTTTAATTTAACCTTTGTTTATTTTTAAATGAAAAACAAACGTTGAAACTCTGTTGCATACATCAGTATATACAATTTAATAAGGTTCCTAATTGCCAGCACCCCCTTTAACTGGTCATTGAATTCTTATGTTGGAAGGTCCCAGAATTCTACTTTTTCCCATAGTCTGTAATTATTTGCGGAGGGTATTGAAAGGACTTGCTCTAGGAACCGGTACGGCTAGATCAGCAATCATGAAAGCCTCGTCTTAATGTTAACCAGCTTGCCTTTTCCTTAGCTTGCCTTTCTTCTACATTCTAACCCTCTTCCCAAAGTAGTGCCATCGACCAGGAACCTCGGGGAAATGTCTGGGAGCAGCGTAAGTGCCCCCTCCATGCTGATCCCCCTCCTTGCTCCCCGCTGTCTGAACCCATGCGTTTGTTTCCCTTGATGTCTGACCCTGTTTAATGGGATGTCAGATTCCTCCAATTCTTCTATAGAAAATAAATGAGCCATTGCTTTATCTTTGTGGGAGGAAATCGTCTGTGGTCTATCAGCGTGAGCATGGGAGGAAGAGATTGGGGAGGTATCTAGCGCACCCCACATTCTGTTGCTGCAATGGCTACTGGGGTGGGGTGATGGTGGAAGGTTTGCCTGGAGTGCCCCCCTTTGCCGTGCAACCCCCCCCCCCCCACTGAAGAGACAGGAACAGGAACAGGAAAGAGGGGGAAACAGCCTTCAGCACATGGGCATGTTCACATTCTTGCATGAGGCTGGTTTTCAGTTCTCTTTCAAGAATCTGGCAGAAATTTTGTAAAGCCCCGGAAGCTCCAGAGAGCCAGACACCTGCTCACGGCACTGGGCATCAGAAGCATGAGACTTGCAAGCTGAAAAAAGAGGCACCCCCCAGCCAAGATGGCAGGCGATCAGGAGGAACCAATGGCATCTCATTTCCTCGAAGCCCAGAGCAGGCTTAGGTTGTGAAGCAGTTGCTTTTCTTTTGACTCTGTCAAACCATCCAACGTGTTTGGGTGAATTTGGGGACCCAGGACCCTGGATCTAGATGTGGGTTAGACTGCTCTGGCTCCCAACCTGGAACTGGGCACCTGGAGAACACGCCTGTGTGGATGCGGTGGGAGAGACCTTTCCCTCTCCTGCCGATGTTCGCTCTGCCACGTATGCACACGCTTGTCCCGCCATCTTGGTTTGGACAGTGTGCCATTGCTATGCCTGCGGTTCAGGTCTGGCGATTCACCAAGGGTTTTGGGAACACTGTCCAGCCCGGTGCAAGAAACCATTCTGGTTTGGACTAGTCTTAAAGTTTGTTGAAGCTCTGTTGGAACATGTAGAAAGGGGGCAAGAGACTGCGGACTGAAACGTGCAAGGCTGGGCTTGAGGTGGGTGTGAAAGGGACAAGCCGTGATACACACTGAGGAAAAGGGAGACAGGTTGGAGAAGATCGAAAACCTGGCAATTTTGACATGAAGAGCTTAATTGTTTGAAAGATTGTTTCAGCCTTGCCTAAATGCCCTTGACAACTCTAACTGCCACTTTAAAGTCAATCTCCTCCTACACACCTATTCGGAAAGTGGAGCTCTGTGGCACGTAATATTAATAACAACAATAATAATCACATTTCTCAGCTTTCTAGGGCATTTCCACCAATGCACACCCTCAAGCGACAATCAAACCGCCAATGGCGGAAGGTGACGGATTGGTCTTTTCAGGAGCTCATGCAGAAGCGCTTAGTTTAAGCCTCTTGCATCCCAGCAGGATGGAATGAATAGGGCTGTGGGGGGGCAGGGGGGGGGGCTGGTCTTCAGACAGCAATGAGCCAGGCCTAGCTGAATGAGTGCTTTATGTTGCTGAATTGCCTAGAGAGGCTGGCAAGTTTAAAAGCCCGGGCCCAAGGAGATTTTGCACACTCTCTGAACCTGTGTTTACAGAAACTTAGTCTAGAGCTTCTTGGTTGCAACTTGAGTTTGGTTTTTTTGGGCAGGGGGGGGTTGCATTTTTATCCCAGCCTTCTTCTAAGGACTTCCAGGCTGCCCATGTGGAATTATCCCATTTCCTTCTCACAATAATCCTATAAACTTTACAGCTCTGCAAATATTTAAACCTTGATCTTATGCACTTTGTCTTGCTACCTGTCAGGAGTTTTCTTGTAGAACTGGGAACTGCTGCAGTTGTTTGCCATAGAATCATAGAATACATAGTAAAGTTGGAAGGGGCCATGAAGGCCATCAGTCCAACCCCTGCTGTTGTAGGACACCAAGTTGCACCATCCCACTCAGGTGGCTGCCCAGTTTCTTTTTGAATTTACTTTTTGTCAATCGTAAGGAACACGTATCTGTAGAAATATGGCTGCCAGGGCACTTGGATTATTTCTTCCATCTTTTTGGAGTGTGCCCATGTGCTGCTCCACAGATATGAAGACTTTCTTTCTGCCCCGGGTGTCCGTTTGTGCACAAAACAGAGAAAGTAGTGAATGCTCTCTGAATGACAAGGGGTGTGAGGGAGTGAATGAGTCTAGAAGCCCATGAATCGAAACGCATGTTCCACTTCTGTTCCTGTCTTCCTTAACTTTGTCCTGCACTCCTTTCGAATACATGATTCTGGCAACCATCATTGCGAACTGCATCGTTCTGGCCCTGGAGCAGCATCTTCCCGAGGATGACAAGACGCCCATGTCGCGGAGACTAGTAAGTTGACCTGGCCTGTTTGTTCTTGTGGATTCCCTTTCCCTCGGCTCCTGCACACTTTCCATCTCAAGCACGGATGTGTTCCTGGGTCCCAGTGGCAAGCTGGATGCCTGACAGGAAAATCCAACAGGCTGTTCCTTTGGGCATGGGAACTGTGATCCCGATTTCTTTCAGCAGGAGTTGAGGGTGGTGTCTCCATAGTTCAAGAATATTTGTCTGAATTGGAGCTTTCCAGACCTCCTCCAGTGGGCACAAGAGTCCTTCTATGATCAGGTGCTATTTCTGTTGTGCTTCAGCTCAGCTCTAGGGGGCTTTTTGTTGACCACAACTTCTGGGTTCATAGAATGGTGACCTTCTTCATTGCACCTGAGTTCAATGAGTGCAAGTACCTGAGAGGTTTTGGAAGTGGGTGTTAAGGAATTTGGAATTCCACCCAAAATGGAATTTATGGTGAATTGGATGGTCTTTGTTCAGGCAAATTTTGAGGGAATCTGACAACATTAAACTAGCAACCTTTCTTGGAAAGGATGGAGACGTGGTTTTCACACCTTCCCAGAAGCGCTCAAGCAGCTCACCAGTGAGATGGAGCTTGGGGGGCTTAAAATAATATTGATTGAGTTGGGGGGGGGGGCCTCTGAAGCATTATTGTGTTTGGAAATCTAGGGCAGGTGCCTTCAGAGTACTGAAGGGGTGTAATGCCAAAGCATTTCATAGCTGGCTACCAGATACTTGTTGTACCTGGACTTCATGTGCATATGGGTGTTTGGAGATCTGCATGCGCATGGTCCCAGTTTGGAAGGGACTTGGTTCCATTGTTTTTTGGAATGGTCCCAGCCATCTCCCTGGACTCTTTCTCAGGCTTGTCCTGCTTGAGAGGGAGATCCAAGACTCTCCCAGGCAGTGAGAGGGGAAGCCAGTCTAGTTCCTAGAATATTTTGGGAACACCTATTGCTGCGTTCTTTACTAGGCTGGAATTCCGTGGATAGGGCATGAAGGGCCTTGCTACAGGGAAAGTCAGCCACACCTAAGTCCTGCTGGGATTAAAAGGATGAGTCAGATGAAATGGATTTAAGCCCCATCAGTTCAACAGGCTTATAAGTGGTGAATGTCTTCTGGACTGAATGTGTGGGATTATGAGTTAGCACAATAGTTTATCTCAGTTTAGGAAAGCATCTAAAGCTCAAATCCACCTTCTTGGCAGTAAGCCGAGTGGAGCTAGCTTCTCAATACGCCCTTCTAGGATCAGAATCCAAAATGCTATTTTGGATTTCCCCAAATTTATCCTGGATCTTTCCTGATTCCCTTTTTCTGACCTGTTGGTTTGCTCTCTTCCTGTAGGAGAAGACAGAACCTTATTTCATTGGGATTTTTTGCTTTGAAGCTGGCATTAAAATAGTTGCGTTGGGATTCGTTTTCCACAAGGGTTCATATCTACGAAATGGATGGAATGTCATGGATTTCATTGTGGTCCTGAGTGGGTAAGTTCTTCTTGACATTTTTTGTGGGGAAATGGTAGATGGTGTTAAAGTCTTCTGATATGTCCTTTGAATGTGACAGAAGGAAGGAGGTGGGTGGGGAGAAGCTTCTCTGGTTTTCCCTGGAAAATCCAAGTTGCCCACATGGGTAGCACAGAAGTAGAAGAGGAAAAGGCCTCTTGGGTGACTTGATTTGTGTGTTTCGTGCTCACAGTTATTGGCCTGCACAAAGCTACGGCTGAGTTGAATTCTGGTGGCAGTCATGTTAATTCAGCAGAAGAATTTTCATTAGGAATATGTTGTTTTCTGTGAAAACAGCCACTTTTCAAGGAAAAGGGGGGGGGAATCTGGAGTGGAGAGAAGAGAGCAGCTTAATGTTCTGTCTATCCATCCCTTCTTTGTACAAAATCTCTCCTCGGGCCAGTTTCTTACCATTAACATGGAGTTCCGAAAAATAGGTTTGTGAGGTTCACTTCTTTCACCACTTCTCAGTGCCAAGCATCTTCTTCTGAAGCATTTTTCCATTGAATAATCTAAACTGAAAAAGAGGTTCTGGTACATGGTATCTTTGAGTTCTGTGTAACAAGGTTCATTTTAAAATTCTTTAAGATGGCCTAAAATTTGTTCTCAAAATGGTCATGCTGATGGTTAGGACCCCCAGAATATGGAATGGGCTTTCACAGGAGGTGGCTGAAGTCCCATCGGTGCGGGTGTTCAAGGATAGGCTGGACATGCGCATGGCAGGCATGTCACGAGTGGAGCCAAGTGGAGCCGGGGGTCAGACTAGATGGCCCAGGAGACCCCTTCTGACTTGCTCAGTTTCTCTGTTCCTATGCCTTTAATAGTTGGAAAAAGTGTAGCCTCAGCACACTAACCATTTATTATGTCTTTATCAATCTCAAATACTTACTGTATATTCTGCCCTTTGTTATCAAATCACATGGAAGTGTGCAAAATTCATTAGAACACATTAAAATAAGGCCATACCTTGGGAGATGCTGCAGGTTTGGCTCCAGAGCACTGTAATAAAGCGAATATCTCAAGAAAGCAAGTCACACTCTTTTCTTTTTTTTTGTTTCCCAGTGCATCTAAAATATACTTTTACACTATAGTGTAGTCTATTAAGCGTGCAATAGCATTAGGTCTTTAAAAAGCCCAAGGTGCATACCTGAATTAAAAATACTTCATTGGTAAAAATTCTAACCATCATCTGAACCTTCAGTGATTCATAATCTTTTTGCTGGTGGACCGTTTGGTCTTGAAGTCTGCCAACTCATCGGGATGGTGGTTGCTGAAAGGTCCGGTGGCTGTGGCAATTTCTTCAAAACAGACAACAGTGAAGTTTGCTGCATTGATCGACTCCTCCTTTCATGAAGGAGTTTTCTGTAGCACACGGTGCTGTTTGGCTCTGTGCAGAATGAAACCTTGCTTTGCAGATTTGGTGTGTATGCACCTGATTATGAAATTATCTGATATTTGCTGTCCGAATTCTATGGGTGTATGAGTGGAGAGGAACCCACCCATAAACTGTATAATCTGCAGAGGGCTGGCTCATGTCCCAGGGTTCAAATATAGAACCTGCATCATTTATCATTGTCCCTGGCATCCCAAGTAAAGTTCAAACTGGGTTTAATTTACAACAAAAGGGCACATTTATCCTTTCATGCACAAGGAGAGAGAAGATGTTACAAGCTGTAATAAACTGAGTTACTTCATATTTTAATGTTGCGTTCCTGTCTGGAGAAAAAAACCCCTTGTCTCCAACTGTCTTGGTAGAGCCAGTGTGGTGTAGTGGTTAAGAGCATGGGACTGGGACTCAGACGACCTGGGTTCTGGTCCCCGCTCAGCCATGGAGCCAACTGGGTGACTTTGGGCCAGTCACAGACTCTCAGCCCAACCTACCTCACAGGGTTGCTGTTGTGGGGATAAGATGGAGGAGGAGATGTAAGCTGCCTTGAGCCCTTTGTAGGAAAAAGGCAGGATATAAATCAATCAATCAATCAATCAATCATTCATGTAGCCAGGACTGCCATCCACAGCTCTGGGCTTGGCTTACCAGCCAGCCAAATTTTGCGATCCTCACCAACTCCATCTGTTCCACAGGCTTCTACACATCCTGGAAAAGGACTGTGGAAGCAAAAGAGATTAGCTCTCCCGGTCATTAGTCATGGGAATTAGGAGAATTTTCCCTTTCCTGTGTGTCTATGTGTGTGCACAAGTTGGACCTGTGAGGCAGGATCACCCCATTAGAAAGGGTTGGTAGAATGAGGAGGTGCACCCAAGACTGCAAGCAGGTTGATGGATTCTCATAGAAGATTCTGGACAATCTGTGCTTGCTGGAAAACTAGAAAGACAAGAAATTGAGGGAGGAGCCATGGCTTGGTTGTGGCACGCATGCTTTGCATACAGAAGGTCTGCGGTTCAGTTCCTCACATTTCTGGTCTGAAAGGTCCCAGGAAAGCAGGGATGGAAATGGCCTCTAGCTGAGATGTTGCATCACCAGGGCCAGCCAGAGTAGCACGGTCCAGGGCTGGAAGGGGCAGCCCGAATAAGCTTGCTTTTGTTTTGAATGTGTCAAGGGCATGAAATTGGAATTCCCATAAGAGCTTTCTCAATCAGCCCTCCGAAGTTGCTAGGCTTTGAAAAAATGTTTGCGAGCTTGTCGGGGGCTGGCACAGGGCTGCATTTCTGTGCCAGATCCCACCTTCTCTGCCAGCTGATCCGGGTTCCAGGGGAAGATGCTGCGTCCCATCCCTTCTGTGCCAGTCGTCTTCAGGCCTGTGTGCCGTTCTGGCACTTGAAGACAGACCTGCATGACTGTCTTCATCCTGGCATGACTGATGGCGGCTTTCTCCGCCTCTCCTGCTTGCGTCACTCTTGGAGGGGTGAGGCTGCTTGGTCCTCAGTGTCCGAGGATGAGCCCCACAAGCTTAGCAGCCTCGAGGAAGGATGGGTTGTTGCCAGCCAAGCCAGTGGTGCGGCACACTTCCGATCCCCCAGCAGGGGATGTTGCCAAGTGGCTGAAGGGAGTGGAGGGACGGAGGGGGCTGGCTCACTCAGCTGGAGGGCGGAAGTGCCTGAGATACTTCTGGCCCCAACTCAGCTAGTTTCCTGCCACTAGACACAGCCGAGTGGCGTCCTCAGCCCATAGATCTGAGGCATCCTGAAATGTTGCTACTTTTATTTTATATGATTATTTACCGCTTGCGAGATTTTCTGCATATGTTGAACACATTTGCCTGACTTTTGGTCTTCTGTGCCTTGACCTGGGGATGCGAGCAGCTGGGACAGCAAAATGTCTTTGGATCATGGAAAGAAACCCATCATATGCTTTATGCTCTTGGAGAGCATGTGTTTTGCTCTCTGCCCTCCCAGTCGAATAGGTTTTGCTGTTTTACCATGTGCCCGGCTATTAGGAAAGAAGCTAAGCTGAATTTTATCAAGCTTAATTAGGTTATTAGGTTTCTGGCTTATGCTTGATGGAGGTAAACAATGCCTAATGTAGGGGGTGCATTAAGGGCCAGATGGCTGTGTCCGCACATTGGTGGCGCATGGGAGGGGATGTTGCTGGCTATTTGGATTCTGTGTGAACAGTACTATCTCTTTATACAATATCGTGCATATTCTGCTATGGGCCTACGTACAGGTAGTCGGGGACGATTATGTAACACTCATATTGCAAAATGTTTGAAAGGCATCCATCCAAGGAAGGAGAGGCAGAACGCACCCTTCCTTCCTGTGACTCTGGGCACCGTTGATGCGTGTGTGTGAGCAAGCGACTGAGCAATTTTCGTTTCAGGCAGTGCAGCTTTGGATCTGGGCTGAAGGGTTTCTGCAGCATATGCAACCTACTTAGACCAGTTCTAAGCGCCGGCTCTGTGATATATTTGACGTACCGATAAATCTAGGGAAGAAAGAACAAGGGGTAACTGAGCTGGCCAGAATTCTCCAAACTTCAGAGCTTGGTTCGACTTTCTCTGTTTCTCCTTTCTAACCTGCTTTTCAGTTAGTTTAAATGGGAAAAGTGTGCACTTTCCACCCTATTTAAGTGTTCGTTTTTAAAAGTACACGCTTTCCCTCACTGACTAAAATATGGAAATGTAAATTTTCAACAGTGGGCATTTTTAAAATGCATGCCTTAAATAGAGCTTTTTAAAAAATCTGCCTGTTTAAAATTCTGCATTTGCAAACATGAATTCAGGAATTTGCACAGAAGGTTGCACTCCTGTTGGCACTTGTGGTTGTGAAGAGGGCATGTCTGGATGATTAGCAAATTGAAATGAAATTCTTGTACTTGTGGCCCCGTTGGATCCTGCGCTAGCTTTAACATACCTGCTTCTGAATGGACTTGGTTAAGTAGAAACTGCATGCTTCTGAAATTCAGTTGTGCAACTGGGCAGAAGCAGTTATTTGGCTTTGTGTGTCCATAAATGTTAAGAATATTCCTAATTACCAATTTGTTTTATTCTTCATAAGCTGAGCTGCTGACCCAGGCATGTGGTGGGTTTGGCAGATATTTCTCCGTCAAAAGCCAGAAGGTGCATTTGATGACAGATTTTTCCAGGGTAGCAACATGAAAGGGGTGGAGTGTCCCAGCGGTGACACCCCGTGCTCCACCTCAGAGCCAGGCATTTCGATAGTGTCAGAACTGCAGAAGTGACCTCTTTGCAGCTCCAGCTGGGTTCTGCTTGGGTACCACTTATTCTCTTCTTTTTCCTTTTAATCCACCTCCTTCTTCCCAGGAGGTTGCAGGGCGCAGCCAGCCAGATTTGGAGCAAGTATGTATTTCAGCAAGGCACCAGACCTAGTCCTTACAGCCCTGCTCTTCCTGACTCTCAAACAGGGTCCTGACTGCTTTTGCAATTCCCCTTTCTTAAATAAGAGCCAGTCGGTTGCCTTATGCAAAGGCCATTTTGAAGGCACAAAGCGTGCGTGTATGTGAAAGAGACAGAGACAGGGGAGAGAGAGAGAGAGAGAGAGAGAGAGAGAGAGAGAGAGAGAGA